ATCTAAATTTAATCAGACAGCTGTTCAGTATCCTTAAAAACATCAATCAGTGCTGTTGCTAGTAAGCAGCTGTCTGCGTTCAAGTCCCCAGCGGAATTAAACTCCTCAGGGTCTCAATGGAAGACAAGACTGAAGGAGATATTTCTAGAGAAGAGTTTTAGTGAGAGCTAACCTATACAGTGTAACACAGTACCAATCTATACACTGTAACATCACATCAAATTATGACTCCAGCTTGGCAGATGGGGAGACAATCCCCCCACCCACAGCCCCTGCTACTTGCCAAACAGGGCCTTAAGAGAGCTAAAGTAACTCTTCCATCCTTCCTTAAAGTATCTGACATCTTCATTACCTCTCTTTAGTTTATGCAGATAAAGAGGCTAAAACCTCCCCTGATCAGCTACACATTGCCCTCATATACTATGAAGGACTGATTAGGCTTTAATATTTACAGGTTATCAGACTGATGGAGTTGGAGACTACAAGATACTAACACACCATAATACCTAAGAAACAAAACATGGTGTGAAGTTTAACTGGGTCAGGATTTCATTTGGAAGCATGCAATCTGTTAAAGAAGTTGCATATTATAATGAAACATATCATTGTATAAAGTAATTTAAATCTCTGCCTACCTGTTCCTCCTGCAGCACAGCAGTCAGTATGAATTCAGTGAGGCTACTGGATAGCAAATGGCCAGCTGGAACCCCTTTCCTCTCCACAGCTCAAATATAAACCTGTCATTTCTAAATATACTCAGTCTCGCTTTGCTGATAAATGCCCACGCACACTCACGACAGTACAATTGTCCATTTGTGAACTAACACAGCCTAACAAATTATCTCAGCCTTTCCCAAGTCCCCAGCACAAGGCACTATCTGGTCATAAGCAGTTTCTGTACCACACATTGCAAAAGTTCTTACCAGTACATCTGTCAGATAATCTACACTGTAGTTCTCGCCATGCCTTCGTGCTTTGCCATTTACTGAGAGAGTATAGTTGTAGTACTTCGAATTTTTCTCCTGTGAAAAAGAAAAGTGACACAGACACTTATGCAAAGCAAGACTTACACTGATTACTTGAAATAACCCAAATTAACTGCCCCCGAGCATTTGTCAAATAGATTATGAGCATCTGCCATAAGGATACTGCAAAAATTCTCAAAAATGGTCTCCATCAACAAAACTGGTCTCACACTGCTTTGGCTTTACAAATTGCTTTTTTTTTTTTCCTCTAGGCACTCAATAGGAGCACTCCTTTAAAAGCCACAGATCTGACACACAATTAAGGAAAAAGGGGAAGAAAATTTGCATTAAATCATTAGATGCTCTTTTCCTACTCTTTCATGACCAGCAAAGTTAGAACATGAGTTGTATTATAAAGCAACCAAAATTAAACAAAAAAGACAAGTCACATACCAAAGCATACCAAAAACTCCATCCAGGAGGGACATGACCTACTCCCCCTGCATCCTCTGCTCCATACTGAAAAAAGAGAGATCATGACTCACAGTTTAAATTATGATGAATCAAAGCTAGATATTATGTTTCACATTCATGTACTTTATTCAACACTACTCAGAAACCATGTCAAGCCAAATTCAATTTCAGAATGTGGAAAACCGCATATATATGCATACAAAAACACATGTAGGACCTGTTAAAGAAACCAGGGTTCAATAACTAGACAGTAACTGAAAGCTTAGCAATCATCAGTAAAATTTAAATATTATTCCCTGCTCCATTCTGCACGTGAAAATATGCAGAGATCCTGGAGAACATAGTGTACATATCAAATAATGAGCAGGGATCAAGACATCCATGTGACAAGACACTTGCAGGCTTCATGATAAGAGTTCACAAGATACTAAAGAGAATTCCACACAGACCAACAGCTTCCTTCATCCTCTCCCAAGAGGGGTAGGAACTTCAAGTAATGCTAGCCTCTTGCCACCTCAGTGCCAAATAATCTACAACAACTAGCCTTTAAGACAGCAAAATAGGGAAAGTAGCTGCTGAGTCAGTGCCAAACTCAAAACAGAGGGTGCCTTAGAGCAACACAACGGGTTTTCTCAGGGCAGCCCTCTCCAATCGACGTGGCTCGCCTAGCTGCAGGCACGAGAGACTCTGCTGAGTCAAGGGATGCTCAGAGGAAGCCAGCTAAGTTTCCCTTCCCCTTGCTGCCTCAGGAACATCAGCAGACAAATTCGTGCCTGGCTATGAAGATTCACGTTCCACTGTTTTATTATACCACCGTTTTCCACCATGAGATGCAAAGAAAACATGCTGTTAAGAAACCTGTAGCTCATATAGCTCCTAATCCAATTCCATCACACAAGAGGAACACACAGCCTTACAGCTTTCAGTGCTGAATTTTACATCTTACTATGAACTACTAGAAACTATATCCTAGTTAAAAAGACAAAAATACTAAAGCACACACATACAAGTGACTCAAAGTGTTGGGTAACTGCTGTAAGAGCTCTGAAAGTACCTGTTCTCCCACAAATTTGCCTCAGTGAACTCTTAACTCTAACAACAAACCACAAAAAAACAACAAAAAATTCTAAACATCAAATACCTCATTTAAATACTTTCCAGCAAAGAATGTTTGATAACCACACATAGCTTTGAGCAGCGCTGGGAAGGTGTATGGTTCTTGAATCTTCTGCCATAACTTGCTGCTACAGTTCCCTTCCAGAGTGTTATTGACGACATGATGATTATGTGGATATTTTCCTGTTAAAATGCTAGCTCGACTGGGACAGCAAAGTGCACTGGGGACATACTGGAAAAACAGAATGAGGAGATTTGAGACTGGGATGGTAAAACAATTTTATGCCAAAATTTATGGTTTTCAAATATCAGTTAACAGGCTGACTAATATATTAAACAATAAAAATTACTTCTTTCTAGACACCCAGAATTATATCCAAAGTATTTTCACTAGTAAAAAACTGCGCATGAAGCCAGTTTCAGGGCTCTGCAGCACATGCCCTTCAACTTCTCACCACCAAACCGGACACGGTTTTTAGACAGGGCAAGAACCCACTAAAATACTGTCTGATCGTTGACTCACTCCATTATTTTAGCCATGGAGGTATACAAGAATATGAAAAGAGTGAAGTGACTTTTCATTGTGCATGAAGCAAATGAAAGTTTGAGCAGCTTCTTCTAATGTTCAGACTATGCAATTTTACTTTACAGATTAAGGAAGTGAGCATAAGTGCTTTTAGAAAGTGAAACTACAGATTTTGAACATCACCTTAAGTTATATTCATTTTGAGACCGAAAAGTAGGTAGCGATTGAATTTTAAAAACCCCACATTCATATTGACAAGTTTCATGAAACTGATACCATTTTTTGAGACCTCAGACGACCAAAGATATAAAACACACAAACACACACGCCTCAGAAGTTCAGAGTGTCAATGCAAACACTTACTGCATTTACGAAGGTTATTCCCATCTGGGCAATAAGAGTGTTAGTCTTCTTTAGGGGGGTCTGAAAAGAAAGTACCAGAAAGGTATCAGCTAAAAATGCAAGGATGCCAGGTAAAGCCAGGGACTTGAAGCAGGCTGCCTGGAAAAAGGCCCAACACCACAGTTTTTACTAACTACCCCGGCAAGACACTACGAGTGCCCTATCCTTCTCGCTAGGGCCTGGCGTGGCCACAGCGATTGCACAAGCGAGCACAAGTGTGGAGTGTTTACAGGGGGATCTGCAGCGCCTGTTCTAGAGGCCCCAGCCCCGGCGCAGCCGAGCCCCGGCGGCTCGGCAGAGCGGCTCATCCCACCCGTGGCAGCCCGGCCGCGACGCTCCTTCCGCGGGGCTGCTTGGCCTGAGGCCGCAGTGAGCCCCTGCCCGGCTGCGGGCTGGGCCCAGCGCGACCCCGAGCGACCCTCGCCCCACACCGCGCCCGCCGAGCTCGCTCTCGCCGTCCGACAGCCCGGTACGCGAGCGGGGCGGGCGGCGAGCCCCCCTCGCCGCGCTGCCGCCAGCCCCGCGCCCCCCGCCGCAGGGTTACCATGCCGCCCAGGCAGACGTCCTGGTCGTCGGTGAGGATAAGCACCACGTTGGGCCTCCGCGCCTGCCGGAATGCCCGCGCAGGGCCGAGCAGCAGCAGCGCGGCCAGCGGCAGCGCCCGGAGCAGCGCGGCGGGGGACATGGCGGGGCCGGGCGGGTCGGGGCCGCCACAGGCGCCGGGGGGGGGGGGGGGGGGCGGAGTCACGTGGCCCGGGCGGCCGCCGCGGCCCCGCCCCAAGCCTGGCCTCCGCCCCGGGCCGCGCGCGGAGGCGCTTCCCAGGCGTGGCCGCCGCGCTCGCTGCCGAGGGGAGGTAAACATCCGCGGGAGGCGTGCCGAAAGGATACAGCCAGCTCCTCTGGGCAGAACAGTGGTCATCTCAGCCGAGCAACAGGCAGAGACTGATGTACAGGAAGTTCCACCTGAACATGAGGAAGAACTTCTTTACTGTGCTGGTGACTGTGCACTGGAACAGGTTGCCCAGAGAGGTTGTGGAGTCTCCCTCACCGCAGATATTCAAGAACGGGCTGGACGCAGCCCTGTGCAATGTGCTCTGGGATGACCCTCCCTGAGCAGGGAGGCAGGAGCACTCAGCCTTACCCATTCTGTGATTCTGTCCATTCCTGACCCGAGTTAGTCGCGGCTGTTACCCGTGTGGCCGGCTCTCCCTGCACCGCCACCGGTGCCGCAGCCAGAGCCCGGCTCTGGCGGCCGTGCGGACCGCGCCATCCGCTCCGGGCTGCAGGCGTTGTCACGGGACCGGCCACAGCACAGGTACTGAACTGCTGGCAAAACCGGGCCGCCCCTCCACAGGGGGAGCAGGAGAGGGACGGCCGGCAGGACGGCGGTGACCTCCGTGGCAGCCACACAGCGCACGGGTACCGTGCCCAGTGTCACCGCCCCGAGGCGGAGCGAGGTCCCCGCCCCCGGCAGGTGCAGCGCCCCCGCCCCGGCCTCTACCACGGTGCGCGGGGAGGGAGCGGAGCCGGGCGGGCGCTCCTGCCTGGGCTCTCCGGCCTCTTCCCCTTCCCCTGCCCGCCCCTCCCCGGCGGGTGACCGTGGGACGCGCCGAGCCCGGAACCCGGCGGCAGCGGCGGCGCGGAAGATGGATGCGGCGGAGGCCGGCGCGGGCGGCAGGGCGGGCAGCAGCGCCGACAGCCTGGCCGAGGAGGAGGAGGAGGAGGACGAGGACGAGGCGGGTCCCGGCAGCGGCCGGTCCAGCCGCACCTCGTCGCTGGTGAGCGGGCTGCTCACCGAGCTGTACAGCGCCGCCGAGGCGGCCGGCCCCTCGGGCAGCGCCCGCTCCCGCGCCCTCCGGGAGCTGCAGCAGCGGCCGAGCCAGGTCAAGTACCTGCGGCTGAAAGGTACAGCCCGCCCCGCCCCTGCCGCCTCGCCTTTCCTCTGTGCCTGCAGGGGAGTCCTGCCCGAAGGTGCCCCCGTGCCTGCGCGCACGTGTCTGTGTGTGTATATATATCCATTTCCAGGCTTTCTGCATAGCCCTGGCTCCCAGAAGCTTCCCACGTGCTGTTAGCTGAGAGCTCCTTTAGACTATGGCCTCCTGTGCTATTCGCCCCTCTTTTGTTTCAGGTGCCCTAGGAGCCGGATTAGGGTCGTCTGCTACTAGTTTCTGTGACAGCCTGCCTAAACTTTTGTGTTTCTGCGAGTCTGGGGCTTTTCCCTACTTACAGTAATGAATAAATGTCCAGTTTCTTTCTTTTCTTTCTTTTTCTCTTCTTTCTTTTCTTTCTTTCCTCCTCTTTTTTTCACTCAGTCCTTACTTTCTGAATCTACTAGAGATGCTACACATACAGTATCGTAAGAGTTTTTCTCAGAGCCTTTTAGTTCTACTGGACATAAACTAAACTGGACAACCATAAAGCTTACTTGGAGGTCTACATGTCTTCCAAAAAAAACAAATAAATAAAGGAGTGTAATGAAAAATGTAAATGCTGGAGTCAATCAGAATCAAAATGAAATTTTCAAAGAATTCTTATGAAAGTTAGGTAGCCTCAAGAGTGCATGTTTGTGAAAGACTGAGACATGCAACTCCAAGTTGATCCAATGAAGAGGAAAAGAGAACAAAGGCCTCTTGTCTCCTGATGTTTAATCACTTTTGCTTTTGATGAGGAAAAACCCCAAGAGGCGACTAAATATGCCTGGTTTTCAGAGCTGTACAAACAGCTATCTGCTTCAGTGTTTGGCTTCTTGATGAGATGACACGCCTTCTGATGTTACTAGGATGTAGCTCAAGTTCTTCTGTGTGTCCTTTGGCAACCTGCGACTCAACAGGAAATTTTCTTGTTCAGAAATATGTTTTGTGGTGTTTCAACTCATTAGTTTTGCTGCCAAGTTACTGTTTTTTTGACTGGCACAGCAAAGCGGCACAAGTGGAAAAGAGTAAAACTCACCAGACAGCTCCAGTGGTGACTGTATAAATTAGTACAAATGCAACTTTTTTTTTCTGTGTTTTTTTTTTTTCCAAATCCGTAGATCTAGTTTTAAATTACATTGCCTGATATAGGTGGCTGGGAATTTAGGAATTGCATCTGAGCAGCAGGTGCTGAAACAGTGCAGTGGCTGTAAAATACAGAATTGTTTTTTCAGTGGCTCCCCATCCTTGCAATCAGACTTTTCACTAGCCCATGGTAGATGGTCATTTCAGTCTAATTTGTCCTCTGCTTTAAGCTCTCCAGAACTGTTGAAAAAGCTTTGCCACATGAGCTGAGCTGTTTATCATCCCACTAACAGTAGTTTTTCCGGGATGCATATATATTTTTCTCATTAGATCAGGTTACTGAAGAATGGATTTTTTTGGATTGATTTTTCTTTCCAGCATCAGGGGTTGCACTGAAAGTGATAGTTTGAAAAGTTAGCTGCAGGGAGCAGGCAGCTGTGTAGATGCTGGTGGCAAGCTGTACCAGGCTGTTACAGGGAGGAGCTGAAGAGGTCAGCATGTGATAGGCAAGACCCACGATTTCACTGGTGGGGGGAGCATCTGGGAACAGAGCAGAGGACTCAGAAAAATGAATGGACTTTAGACATCTCCCCAACAACTCCCTTTTCTGGTCCTGAAACTCACCTCATGGGGGGACAACAGGAGTATTAGAACTAAGCTGAGACATTTGATGAACTGGAGGGGTCTTGTGGCACTATAATTGGCCGGTGGAGATAACTGAGGCCATGACAGAAGTCATCTAGTTGCATCTTAGTGGAAAGAATTTCCCACTCAGAGCTTATTCTGAAGTTGCATTTGTAGCTTTGCAGGCAGCTGCTTGAACATGTTCCCGTGTCTGTTACAAATGTATATCTTGTCCGGGCGGCTTCTGGAAGGTACTGTATTTAAAATGTATCCCCTGGTTGCACTATTATCAATATATTCTGTCTATATCTGTCACGTTCCTGGAGTTTATAACCGTACAGTTGTTAAGATTGATACTCTGTGTAATATATCAAAATACTTTTGTTTAAAAGAAAATTAAAGACTTTGGCTCAGATTCTGAAAGTGTTTATAACTGGGAATTACCCCAGTCAATAGAACATGTCATTTATAGAAAGCTTGTATTTGTAAATGTCTGTGGGGCAAGTGCCTTTGCGTGTCAACTACAATAAGCTGTTTGTGAATCTTTTGGCATGTACTGAAGTTGTTTTCTCTGCTTGTTGGCAGATGTTGATGAATTAACAACTATAAAACGAGAACTGAATTACAGAATTTCCGTTCAATCAGCAAAGTTGCTCCGTCTTCTGAAGCAGAAAGACAGGCTTGTGCAAAAAGTGCAGAAGAACTGCGACATTGTCACAGCTTGTTTACAGGCAGTTTCCCAGAAACGTTGTAAGTACTTTCTGTGTACTAGTGTAAATAGTTTGTTTCATTAATGAGGGCAGTGTTTCATTTAAGCCCTCACACTCAATTTAAAGTCAAGAGGCCAGGCTGTGCTATTCCTTAGTTATGATTGGCTCCTAATGATGTCAGTAGTACCTGGAAACAGGCAAAGTTCAACTAGCTCAGCTGGGTTAGCTGCTGTAGCCTCAGCTGTTAATTCTGTGTAACTCCTTTCTACCAAGTTGATCCAAGGTGAAGAGTATTAGTAAAAACAAACCTACTTCCCTCAAAGCCCTTTATCAGTATCAGTGTTGTGGGGGTTTCTGAGAGATTGTGTGGGAAAGAGAGGAAATGTTGTTCTTTAATTGTTTAGCCTTTTTTTTCCTGCGCAGTAAAACCTTTTTATTTGACTTGGCAAAGTTGTCATCTTAAAATAGACTGAAGTGCTTTTTGGTAGTTCTTCTAAAGTAAAACTTCATGTAACCTCATGTGTAAGAATAAACAGAATTTATGCCTTTGGAAAGGAAGTGTGAAAATAACCTAATGTTCCGTCTTATTTTTTTATTAACATGCAGCGTGACAGGTACAGAAATGTTCAGGTACAGTAAATGGTCTTTTCATAAAAATGTCTGTAGGAGCTTTGAGGTGCATGTAAAGATTATAATAAAATAATTTTACTGTAGTGGCATGTGCTAATATAGTCAAGGTAAGAGCTTGTGTATTAATGTGAAACTTAATTTTTAAGCATTTAAAATAATTCCTTTGTTTTACTTAAACCTGGCATGAAAGTTCTTGGCTGTCATCTATGTAGGCATATTTCTTCTCAAAAACTCCTTTCTTAACGTCAGCTTGATGACCAAGGCCTCCATGCCACCAGTATGGAAACATATGGTCTGCTTTTAAATGAGACTGCTTAAATCCTCTACATATTTAGAGGATTTGACTGTAATTCTGAATGTTTTTTTCCCCACATAGTGGAATCTCTGTGTAGAGGTAGAACTGTAGTTTTCAATTAACCTCGAGTTAACATTCAGCTGTTTGAATGCTACCATTAAGCAATCTATACAGACCAATTGCAAATAAATACTGTTTCATGAAAAGATGGAAATTCTGTCTGACCCTTTTTGATTACTGCTTGACAAATTAAAAAACTCCTAGTGGGAATTTCAGTTAGTTCAGAAATTTCAGGGCTGACAAATTTGATCTCTTGTTTTCTGGCATAATTTTTGTGATGATTCTACAGAGAGGAAAAAAACTGTTAAAAAACCTCTATGCTCAAAACTGTGTTCATTGTCTGAAAGTCGAGGATCTGTGAGTTTTGCAGCTCACACAGGGAGCCATTGACTCCTCAGTCACCTGTGCTGGCTCTTGGTCCCTGCTGCATGCACAGAGGAGGCCTGGCCCCCTTTGAAGCTTTGGGAGCCCACCTCTGACTTGCTTGTGCTTCGGGGCTACCAAGAGCCAGCACCGCACCTGCAGCACTTGAACCCCAGAGTGGGTAGAATAAATGTGGAGGAACAGTTGCCAGGGACAGCTTCATAACTTACTGTGTTTCTCATTGTGCTGCCGACCCTCGTCCTTAGAAGGTGATGTTTGTTTTGCATTCAAAAAGATATTACCATAGAAAATAAAATTCACTGCAGAGTCAAATGCATTTCGGTTGGACACACGAATGTTCATGACTGTTAAAGGAATGATAAATTCTTCTGTAGAATATGTGATAAAATCAGTACACCATGCAGTACTTCTGGTTTGTAAGATATATGAATGAAGAGTTTCATTTTAATAATCCTTTTTTAACCCAAATTTAAATAAATTCTCCAATGAAGAAAATTAGTAAGAAAGAAATCACAGTGATGGCCTCATGGCAGGCATGGTACTTGTTTCTCTTACTCTTGTGATTGTGACTTATTTGGGATAAGAAAATATATATATTTGTCTGGAAGCACTATGAAATATTTCAAGTCCATATTAGAAACAAGCAGAGTGCTTTATGCACTTAATTACATCATTTGAGGAAAGCAGAATTCAGTAAAAAACAATGAGGTTTTGCAGCTGTCATCTAAAGAGTACATGAAAGACATCTCTTTATATAGTGACAGCTTGCTTTCATTACTAAATATATTTTGACTGATCAAATTGCAAGCCAGAAGTTCCTTCAATCACAAATTGTGATTGGTTTTCATTAAAGCCAACCCAAAAGTCCACCAACAAACAACCCAAACCAAAACCATGTATTATCTATAATTTATTTAGAAATAGAAACATCCAGCTTAATTGTAAGTCAGTCTGGCTGGAAGCAAGCAGGAATGCTTAAATCTGATTCAAAATAAGCTGAAGTTACAGAAACAGAAAGTTCATTCATATTCTCTTGTATTTTTGATGAAGAAATAATTTTAGTAGAATATTTCCCAGCTATATAATTAATTTCTCTGTCATAGCTGTGTCGCTATGGTGGTGCTATGTACCTGTAATAACTTTAAATGGGCATCATGCTGTGTTCAGAAAGATCCTTAGTATTCTTTCTTGTGATACTTGTTTAGAAGCTATGGTTAAAGTATTAATCTTCTGTTATTTAAGCATTGCATCTGTATAGAATTTTCTAAGATAACAATAAACATTTACTTTCTAGCTTTTTGGTTTTTTTTTTTTTTCTGGTTTGATTTAATGCAGAGCCAGTAGAGGGAGACAGAATATTTTATTTTGTGCAGAACTGGAGGTGTATCTCTGGTTTTGATAAGGATGATAAGCCATCAACCATCCTTAAACATGAAGGGAAATGCTTTAGAAATGTGGTCAGGCAAGAATTGGATGAAAAGGTTTAGAATCAGATTGTCAAATAAATGTTACTCTCAAAGGAAATATTAGTTTCCTTATGTGAAATAGATTGAAAACAGTGACAAATAGCTTTTTAGTTATAACTGAGGTCATTAATTCCTACATGGTTGTCAAAGCTATTCAGAAGCTCCTGACTAAATGAACTGAATGTTTTGGAGTCCAACTACAGAAATTCAGAGGGTTATGCCTCAGGGTGCTAATTGGACAGAAAGGCAGCATGAACTGGCATCATCTGGGCACAGATTTGTCCCCTACATGTCCCCTGAGCATGAACAGTTTCCTGCTAGAAGGCTGAGTTGTAAGTCTACTCAATTTCTGAGAACGAGTTACTGTCTCTATAGCATCAACTTTTCTCACAGGATATGGAACTCAGAAGAAACTGGGAAAGCGTTGCCTAATGTTATTTGCACGATGCATGATTAGGAGAGAACTGAGCAAGAGTCCATTGCCATGTGTAGCTGGAAAAGTGCAACTTAGACATGCAAAGGTAGTCATACATCTAGATTAAATTTCTGGGTTTTGTCTCCTCATTCCCTTCTCTCAGTCCTACTTCAGTTCTGTGTCCTGTCCCATCTTATTTTTTTCCCTGCCAAATGCTTTATTAGCTTTTCTTACATCACCCAATCTTTAAATATTGAATTTTTCAACTCAGTTCCATTTTCCCCGTCTCTGCATCTTGTCTATCTTGCAGTGTCTACCCAGGCTACTCCCTGTCCTTGAGTTTTCTTCACAGTATTCCTTGGTCTCCTTCAGCTGTTCTTCCTTGTCCTTTTCCTGCATGTACTAAATATCTACTTGCCCATTTTCTCTATCCCTCCTCTTCCCTCAAAATGGTTACAAAACCAAGCCAGAAATTCACAATTTTCAGTTCATAGAATAAAAGTTTGGTTAAAGGTGTAAAAACAACTTTAACACAATATAGTGTGGACACGGCTAATATTGATTTGATTGAACTTGAACTTCATAAGGTTCTTGGAGGAGAGGAAAATTTTTCATAGTGAAAACAATCAGCCACTGAATAATCTCCCCAGGAAAGTGGTGGATTCCTCCATGCTGGATGCTTTTAAGATTTGGCTGGACAGGATGCTGGGCCATTTTGTCTAGATCATGCTTTTGTTGAGAAAAGTTGATAATCCTTGAGGTCCCTTCCAACCTGGTATTCTGTGATTTGGTGATTGATTTCATTCTGGGTCAGGTGTCTTGCAACATGGGGCAAGTACTTATGTACATATGTAATAATGCAGGCATATCAAATTTTGCCCGTGACTCATCTGTCTCTTCCCACTCACTTCCCTGTACTGTTTGATGTGCTGTTGCAGTTGTATAAATATGCTTTAACCTCGACCATCCCAATTGCTCTGGTTTAATTTTTTTATTTCTTATGAAGACTTGAATTGCTCAGTGAATATTGCTGCTCTGGCAGTTTAGTGGAGGTGGGCTGGGCACTGGTTAGGATTTTCTGATCCGTTCTGTGTCATGTGCTGGTTTGCCAAGAGTGAGGTAATGGAGCAGTTAGAAAAGGAGATAAGCTGTATTTAGTGATGCTGGAGCTTGGCTCAGTGGGCATGGTAGCTGTGTGCTTGGTCCATCAGCTGCACTGGGCCACGGGGCAGCAGTTCTTTCGATCTGGATGGTGAAGTTCACCTGCTGGTCCCTTGGGATGGGCATGCACAAGGCAAAATGGCTTTAGATTTAAGTGTGCTCTGAACTGACTTGTTCACTGTTACCCAGCATTATTAATAAATTGTGTAATTTTGGAAAATATTACAGAAGAGCTCTTCAAAAGAGCCATGTATAGTGATGAATATAATATGAATATAATATTAAATGCCATTTGAATAACATACTTTTTTTCAGCTTCAGCCAGCAAGGATTCTGGAAAATCTGAAAGCTTATTCAATTGCAGTTGGAGCCTGGGCTAAGAAGGATTACTTTTCTTTTAACATTAGGCTTGGAGGAGAAGGACTGCAAACCTTCCGCAACCTTCATTGCTGTGCATCAGGGCATTAGGAAATGTTTCAATAAGTAGGTGTGTGTCATGTTTAGTATTTGCTGGTATAAATTAGATTGTGTATTTAGAGTATCTGTTAGTTAGACTAGGAGAGAGTTTGAGTGTTGTCAAACATAATAACAGCTGTGTGGAACACAGACTGGCAATAATCACTAACAGA